GTCAAAAATTCATTACCTCTTTTACTAATTATTTTTTTTTTAACTTTTGCCATGTTGAATGACACCTTGATTTCGATGATATTAATTTTCCGTGATTATTCAAGTTGATCTGGACCGAGAATCCCACGAATCCGAAACTGAAAGTAATCGATATGTGTCGAACAGTCGAAGCAGCCAGGAGTCACAATATCATGGTGGCCGTAGACAGCACATTCCTTACGCCTTACTTGCAGACACCGATTGATTATGGAGTTGACATCGTAGTCCATTCATTAACTAAGTACATGAATGGCCATAGTGACGTTATAATGGGATGTGTATGCACAACAAACGATGATATATATAGGAAACTCAAGTATGTCCAAGAATGTTAGTATGTGTTCCTCAAGTAGTAGATAGACTGAAAAGTTCGTAGGCTAACACACAGATAGCGCGACTAGTATTGAATCTATATGATTTATAGTTAACCCTAACCTTCAAAAGACACGTGTACATATTTTACAGCTGTCGTATAGTCGAAGTAAACGATATTGTGCACACATGAAGTTGGCGGCACTCTCAATGGCCAAAAAAACCAATACATAGAAATGAGCCGGTGGCGAACTAGTCCACGTGGACTGTCGACTTGGCGGTTCGTATTGGATATTTTTTACTAAACGAGTTTTATGATTGGCTGAAGAGTCATAAAATTAAATTTGAAGTCATGTTACGGTGACGAATAGAAATCTGGAATGCGGGGATGGTTATCGCCGTCGTGTTCATTTCATGAACTGATCGCGATTTGAGTGTTGAAATTCGATATTGGTGCAGTTATGATCACTTAAAATTTTTGTTTTCTGCTTAAAATGTGGCGTCCTTGGACAAGTACTAATAGTATTAACGAGTGTGTTTACAATGCAGACTTTTTCCAGTGTAGTGATTCCAATAACGATTGTGAACAATGCGAAAAAGAGATACTATTGAATATAATTCAGATGCATTTAAATATTGAAACACAGATTATGTTTCAATGTATATTAGAATCTATATCTCAAGTTTGGTTTCGAGGGTAACAAACTATTACAAACAACATCAGATTTGACCGAAATCCCTTTCTCAACTGTTCGTAAAATAGTCAAAAACAAACCTTATTAACGTAAGATGCGATGTGATACATGATTACCAAAACCTTTAGATGTTCATCTAATAAAATCATTGAAAAAAGCAATATACTACTGTTACAAAAGCAATGAGATTCCTACAACTGAAATCATAAGGAAGAAATTGAATACTTCCGGACATAATGTGAGCTGCTGTGACAAAACGCTTCAGAATTGGATAAAGAAATTAGGATTTAGATTTAAAATAATGAAAAAACGTCAAGCAGTTATGGAAAGTAGAAGAATAGTGGAATTGCGTAACAAATACTTAGAACAAATAACTAAATACAGACAAGAACAACGGCAAATTTTCTATTTGGACGACACTTGGAATGACACTCATGACACAGTTACGAAAGGGTGGACTGATGATTCGAAAATGTATACGCCTAACATGACTGCAAACAAAGGATCGCGACTAATTGTGCATTGCGGATGAATTAAAGGATAAATAATCATGGATACCCGAAAAGTGAAGTTGATCGAAATAGCTGAGGCTCTAAAGATATTAAAGGAACGTTTTGGACATATCGTGCATGAATATTTGGGTAAGCAAAAGCTCTGTTCAGAGCTCACGAGCTCACAATCAACCAAAAACAACATCGAATTCGTAATTCTGAGCAGTGTTTTAAGCTGTTCCGCCGTTAAAAACCGGAATTAAGGCGTCCATATGTGACAATGGATGAAACATGACTAAATCATTTCACTCCAGAAGAAAACGATCATCATCTGAGTGAACTGCACGTGGTGAACCGCCTCCAAAGCGTGCAAAGAAGCAACTGTCGGCTGGAATGGTTATGATTACAGTATTTTGGGATGTGCATGGTATAATATCCATCGACTATCTTGAAAAGGGAAAAACTATCGACATAGCGTAATTCGAACATTTTAAGGACGAAATCGCGAAAAAACAGCCCCAATTGAAGGAAAAGAAAGTGCTGTTTCATCAAGACAATACACCGTGTCACAAATCAATGAAAATAATTGCGAAATTGCATGAATTGGGCTTCGTGCTCCCGCATCTACCGTATTCTCCAGATCTGACCCTCAGTGACTTGTTCCTGTTCTCACACCTCGAGAGAATGCTCGCTGATGAGAATTTTATCGCCAATGAAGTGGTAAGCGTCGAAATTGAGGCCTATTCTGAGGCTAAAGACAAATCGTACTATAAAAATGATATCGCCGATATAGTCGCCTTTGAAGGCAACTGTAATGAACAATAAAATCAAATTTTGACAAAAATAATTGCTATGTGAGCCTACGAACTTTTCATCCTTACTTATTACCTATTCGTGTAACGACCACCCAGAAGATTTCGAAATTAGGTCATCATTAAGTATTATTATTTTTATTGTTATTAGTTTCATAATATTTTAGCGAAGGTAATGGACATTCGGGGACAAGGCCTGACCAAGCCTGCATCATCTTACCTACACCATGGGGTAAGTGATCATTGTCGTGTCTAAGTGTAGCGGGAGCCATGAGAACGACCCCCCCCCAACTGCAGCACTTGAGGTCCTACTCGGACTTCCACCATTGCACATCTACATACAAAGAGAAGCTCGACTGGTGACACACAGGCTAATGCAGGGGTGAACCCTAATCAGCCAGTCACACGGTGCAGAATACTTGAAACTGTACAATGAACTGAAGGCAGATCCAACACTAGGAATGCCCGTGGATAACACAGTTCCGCAGTACAACTTTCAAAAAGATTTGAAAATCATCATACCAAGTAGAGAGGACGGGCAAAACGGCCCACCGGTAAAAGCGTAAGAAACTTGGTATACAGATAGCTCAAAGACCCAAGAAGGAGTGGGAGCCGGTATATACGGAGGCAGAACAAAGACGAGAATCGCACTCAGCCTCGGACATAACGCAACTATGTCCCTGGCAGAAGTAGCGGCCATCGAACACTGTATAGGGAAAATGAAAGGGAGAAGGTCACAAATTAAACCCTTGCCATTTTTTCCGACAGCCAGGCGGCAATTGAAGCGCTCAGCTCATTTCAAGTCTTCTCAAGACTGGTGGGAAGCTGAGCGCACTTAAAGAGCTAAGTACCCGAAACAGGGTCACTCTAGCTTGAGTACCCGGATATGAGGGTCACAAGGGCAATGAGGAGGCCGATGTTCTAGTCCGTGAAGGCGCATCCAAAGCTATGATCGGCCCAAAACCCTTCTGTGGGGTAGCGAAAGCATGTATGAAGACATCCATAAATTCATGGATGCAATCCGAATTGATAGATTGGTGGAATGAGCTCCCAGGAATGAGGCAGGCGAAAGAGTTCATAAAGAAACCATCGCCCAGATTCAAGGAAGACCTGCTAAGACATAAAGGGATGTAAGGGTGGTGGTGGGTCTACTAACGGGGCATAGCCGACTCAGGAAACATATGAGCAACATGGGTCTGACAGAAGAAACCCAATGCAGGTTCTGTCAAGAAAAGAAAGAAACCACACTGCATGTGCTCTGTGAATGCGAAGCAATAGCAAGGCTGAGGCACGCAAGATGCGGAAAGAGAAACTGGAGGCCTCCAGCTCTATGAAGGGGTCAGTGTCAAAGCTATGGAGTCTCATCAAAGAGATCAAGCTAGACAATGAGCTCTAACACAATGGATTTGAAAAGGTCGCAGTGAATCAGGCCATGGGCTAGCTCCCCGACAATCTAATCTAAGAGATCATTGGGTCCTAGAATCATGTGCTCTAAGCAGACGTAATGAGTCCAGAATGACAGCCTTCTGCATTAATCTGCATCTGTCACCATCTGTTTTCATGCATGAAAACGCTTGAGAAACCTATTGTACGTAGACTGTTTGAAAAATAAATTGATGGATGTAGCCGTTACTACGTGGTAGGAAATCATAATAAGGAAAAGAGAAATGAAACTTTTCTTTTCTTGTTTGAAAAATGATTTATATAATTTTTGGACGGCCGTTGCTAACTTTCGGTCCCCATGCAATGGCTCCGTACGTTAACATAGATCTTATTATTGCAGTGTAGATCCAGGTGACCACACGGGGTGAAAGACCCCATGCGCGTCCCACTGTCCTCCGACATTGCTCATAAGCCACATATGCTCTTTTTGCTCTACTCCGTAGGTGAGAGTTCCTGTCGTGGATAGTACCATGGTATTTCACCTCTTCAGAGAAGTGTAGTTCACTTCTGAAGATTTCTGGAGGTTTTGAGCGCGATAAACTTCTTTTCCTGTTAAAAAGGACCATCTCAGTCTTCTTGGGATTGATCGACAGTGAGTGTTCCTTACACCATATTTCTATTAATTTGAGCCCAACCTGCGCTCTATCGCACAGTGTGTCCACAAATTTGCCTGTCTGCAAGATAACTATGTCATCTGCGTGTGCAATTGTGTAGAATCCATTATTGTTGAGGTGATTAATCATTGATCAGGGTATCCAGAACTATGTTCCAGAGAAGGGGTGATAAGACTCCTCCCTGTAGACATCCCCTCATGACCAGTCCTCTCACTGTTATGTCTTCTACATTGATACTTATTGCTCCACTAGAGAGCATCTTGAGTATCCATTCTCCTACTATCAGGGGTACATTCCTGGAGTGTAGTTGCTGGGTGAATGTTCGAAAAGTTGTTTTATCAAACGCTCCCTCGATATCTATGAAAATACCCACGGTGGATTCTTTGTTGTCCAATGATCTCTCGATTCTTCCAACTATATGGTGAAGAGCCGAATCAGTAGACCTTCCCGGAGTATATGCATGCTAATTTGGATAAAGTGGGTTGTGAACTAGTACTTCATCTCTTATGTACCGCTCACATAGCCTCTCCATAGTTTTTAAGAAGAACGATGTGAGACTCATTGGTCGGAATGCTTTTGGTAAGGTGTAGTCCATCCTACCTGGTTTGGGTGTAAATAATACTCGTACTTCACTCTACTTACTGGGAATATACCTCAGACGTAGAGAGGCTCTGAATATTCCAACCAGGTGCGGCATAAGAATATCCAGTCCCCATTGAAGTAGGGCTGGTCGTATACCGTCAGGTCCTGTTAACTTGAAGGGAAAAAACCCGATATGGCACATCTTATCTTGTCCTCATCAATTATTGCACTAGCAGATTGCCAGTCGTATTGTGAGGGTGTTGTGGGTACTTCCGTCCAGTTCGTCTTTCCAGGAAAGACAGAACATTTTTCCTCGTCAGGATGTCGATACTATTATGGTGGTTATTTGAGAGTGCTTTCTGTAGCCTAGAAGCTAGTGGGAAGTCTTCGACTGCCTCACAATAGGCTCTCCAGGCTTCTCTTTGTTTCTGTCTGCAGACTTTTTGAATTCTCTGAGGTTGGCTTGATATATACCCCAATCCTCTTCGAGTCTTGCCTTGTTAAAAGTCGTTCTCGCTGTCTTCCCGAGGTGTTCCAGTTCAGGGCACCACCATGTATTGGTTGAACCATCCTCATCGGACAGGATTCCTTGTAGGCAATGTCTATTTTGTTTTTGGATAGATACCGTGTCCCTTTCCAGTTCTTCATTATTGCCAGGAGTCAGGACCTCTGTTTCCCGCAGAGCTCCATTTAAGAGTCGATTGTAGAGAGCTACATCCGTCCTCTTCGGGTCACGGGATTTTACAGTTGTCCTGACATTCTGGCTTACCGCTGGTCAACCAGCGGTGGCATGACATAGAAACATGTTCCAAGACTTGCCAGACCTGGATTTTGTTTGATATTGGGCTGATATTTGATATTGGGCTGTGTAATTTCTGTCTATGATCCACAAGCTTGAACTTTTTTTTCAATGATAACAATGACGACATCTATTCGTTCGGAAGTCTACAGTATCAAATTGAATTATTAATTATGCTCATTGTGAAACACCGAAAGTAGTACTTTAACGTGTTAGGAATCATACGTGGAAAGGTAAGACCTCGAACTTAAATGTGTTCCTTTGTTGATGTTCAATTATGTATGAATCTATTCATGAATGTACCTTATATTTGTTCATATATTCAATTAAATGAATTTATTGGAGTTCGAAACTGACTTTGAGATTTGGTTTTTATTTTTTCTGTAATATACCTATGGCTGGACATTCATTCGAACAGAAACTAGCATTATCAGTGTTTCCACAGTTTAAACCAGAAAATCATTTAATATTGAACATAATATTCACCTTCATTGATACAGATTTCGGCCATGTAGCATCGCCTTTTGACTGCTCTCAAGTAATCAGAGGAATAAAAACTTTACCATATCGGATGAGGCGGCATCAGAAAAGTTCCTTGGAAATCGCCAAATATTTGATGGGCCACCCCAAAATAGAATCAGTCATACACCCAGGTACGTGTTTGAAATCTTCAATTAAAATATTTTCGTAGAGTCAGCATGCCTCGAAATATTTCGCGAAAACCCAAATCGATTAATTTCGGTCATTGTCTAATGACTATCGGGTACTATAGTAGCTAGATATAATAATATTTTCATGGAATGGAAGTTCGCCCGAAGGGAATACATCGCCAGAATGCATGTCCTATGTTGTATATCGACCGACACCCGAACGTCGACGGATCGCAAGATCTGTCAAAAACATCTCCGCTGTCTGTGAGAGTGTGCAGGAGAATCCGAGGCAGTAGACTTGGCGCCGCTCCGAAAAATTGGCCTTTCGCAGAACACAATTTATCGAGTTTTGCGTCGTGACTGGTACAAAATTCAACTGACTAAGGAACTAAAGGTAAACGATCACATAGCGAGCACACCGACGTGGGCTCTGGAGCAGTTGGCAACTGCCCCTAATTTTCATCGAACAAACATAATTATCGAATTTGGGACGATACCAATACACATGAAATCAAAGAGTGTCCAATGCATCCCGAAAAGTCACTGTTTGGTGTGGATTTTGGGCTGGCGGCGTCATCGGTCCATATTTCTTTGAGAACGACGTTGGCCAGGCCTTCACTGTCAACGGTGAGCACTGTAGTCGATGTAGCAACATGCCACATTGGATATTCTGCACGAGCGATTTGAGGGCATGGTCATCTCACGTGGAGGAACTGGCCACCGAGATCATGCGATTTGACACCGTCAGACTTTCTGTTGTGGGGTTTCCTAAGGTCTTAGTTGTATGCGAATAAGCCCCAAACCACAGTGGTTTTCAAAGCCAACATAACCCATAGTAGATGAACAATGTATGTTCTGGCCCAAAATCACATGTATTTTCTTTTGGAGCTAAACTTTTTGCAATATTCGTGACAAACGAGAGTGGGGGGAAAAACGTGTGACGTAATCAGTGGGACCCCTTTGCCCCTCGGCCCTTTTAGTACTCCGTCTCACCTCTCGGGCACCCTTGAGACTCCGACCCACCCCTCGGGCCCCCTTGTCACGTACCAGTCACGTGGTCCTGATTGAAAAACGTTTATCGGTATGAAAATCGAACCCAGGACGTCGGAGTTGTAGGCTTTGTCCTCAGCCTCGGCACCAACGTGGAATATTGAAAGTAATTGCGAATTGTTGATATTTATAACGGTTGTTTTTCGGGAACGAAATTGAATCATACATTATACTTG